TGGGGACCCAGCTGCCTTGACATATTTATGTATATGGACTGTCTGTCATCACTGTCCAGCCACTTGTTTCCACCCTTCCCAAGATCAATTGCAAGTTAACTTCTCCAATCTCCATAAACTCTTCCTCTCTTCATTCTCAACTTAAGACTTTTCTTTTACTTTCACTGGGGAAAAAATCTGCTGAGCATGGATTTATGTCCTACCACCACATAACAGACAACCTGCATCTGACCAGGGTATGCCACCTTGCTCCCTGCTATGCCACTTCTGCCTCTCTAAGCAAAGCTCTCCTCCCTCCTCCACACCTCCCATGTTGGCTTGTCTTCCAGAGCCCCAGCCCTCAAGCTTGTCAAGCACCATATGCAAACAGATAAGATCTCTTTCATTTGCAAGTTCAATCTTGCCCTTCCTCCATTAGTCCCATCAACATGCACCAGAGCTACAAGAGGTTTCTGAGAACACTTCATCCTACATTAAACTCCACCTTTGACATCCTTCTCTTTCTTCTGTTTCATATTTTAGAGGAAAATTGAATTCTCTGTACCTATGTGTATTTCCTCACTTCTGATGTTCTGTTGGAACTCTCTGAAGTTACTCTTTCTTGCCTAGTTCTACATAGAAGCTACTGTTATAAAAGTTAGAAATGACCTCAAAATCAAGTTCAGTTGTCAATCTTCCCAGCCTCTCTTAACCTCCTAGGAACATTGTGCCTCTTTCCCAGTCTCTCATTTCTGAAATCCCTTCTTCATATTGTTTCCAGACAGCATGCTTCCCTGGTTTTCCCTGCATCTCACTGACATTCCTTGGATACCCTCCTGCTTGATGTCTCTGTGTTGGAAAGAGAAGCATCTTAATTTCTACTCTTCTGTAACCACTCTCATCTCCTTTGAGGTTTCATGCAGATATGTGATTTTGCAATACTATTAATAAGCTATTTACTCTTACATTTACATTTGGACTACCTTCTTTGTTTAACTCCACTCTGAGGCAAATGCCTACTGGTCCAACTTGATCATATTAACACCTCCAACCAGCATTACCAAAACGATGTTCTAACCTGTTCACTATGCGGTCATCTACACCATTATTCATCTGATGACTTATGTGAAAAGGAAAAATCTGGAGTCTTTCCTTATCTCATTTTTTTACATATCATACTATATGTTCATCAGAAAATATAAACTCTGCCTATATCCTTTTCATTCTTTTGATCCAGAATAATTACAATGATCATCGTTTATCATATTGGAGATTGAAACTAAGACCTCATGTTAGGAAGTGTTCTACCTCTAAGCTTCTTCTTCTTCTTTATTCTGAGACAGGGTCTTAGTTAAGTTGCCCAGACTGGCCTTAAACTTCATGTCCTCATGCCTCAGCCTCCAAAGTAATCAAAATCACAGATGTGTACCATCAGACCCTGCTCACGATATATCTGTATTTATATCCTGACTAAATCCTTCTCAGCTCCTCCACTCCTGTTCTAAACCCCATCATTTCTTTCTGGGTTGATAGACTATTTAAAGTGCATGGGTTGTTTCCATTATCTTTATTAATAAAATATGTAGAGAGCATCATGCCCTTGCACAAATCTAACCATTGTCTTCCTGTGTTTAGAATAAAATCCCAAGATATTCCTGTACTTGGACTCCTGCCTTCTGCTCCAGTTTCATGGTCACAATGTTCCTTACCTCCTTTTTTTAATACTCTTTGTTCATGCCATACAAGCAAGCTCTTTCTCCTGACCTCTGCACCAATTTTCCTCCCCCTCAAGTCAGAAATATTCCTCTTCCAACGGCCGTGTGGATTCTGCTTCTTTTTATTTAGGTCTCTGACCAAGTACACCTCCTCTGAGAGGCTTGCTTTGGCCACCTGGTCATTAGGGATCTATTTTTATGCCTTATCTTTTAATCTGCTTTATACTCATTGTACTTAGACCTATATTATTCCTCCACTGGAACGTAGACTGCATGAAGGCAAGAAGTGTGTGGATTTACCACAGTGATATGGGCCTACAATGCCTTTCGAAGTTTGAAGTGTGCAGCAAATTTGTGGCATAAGCCAGTGAATGAAGGTTTATGGTTCAGTGGTTAAATTTTCCAGCTCAGATAGTCATGAACTATCTGGGTTGAATCTTTAATAGAAAAATAATAAATGACTAAATTCTACCTCAAGTTATTCTAGGACTTTTATACTCACCGATAGACTGAATAATTTCCATAGGTTTGGCTTCTTATTAGAATGTGACTGAAGAGAAATTCCAGTACATGTTGCAATTTTGGAGATGGTGATTCCAGTAGCAGAAGCCTCAGGCCTACATTTGAAACCCAACGGATTCCAGAGGAAGTATCAAAGTAATTCATAATGCAGACAAGAACACCCATGCTGGCATCTTTCATAAATTCTAAAAATGATTCATCTCTCATAATATAGTGGAAAACATCTACAATTATCTTATGTTGGCTCATTAGGTATACCTGTGTCTAGTTAAGCAAGAGAAGAACACTGGAAGGAGCAGATTTCATTTTTTAAAATATTTACTATTTTTATTTTACATGTAAAAGTGTATTCCCTGCATGGTGTAAGTGCACCTGTGCCCTGCAATGCCCTTAGAGGTCAGAAGAGAGCATCAGATCCCCTAAAACTGGAGCTACAGATGGTAGTTAGCCACCATGTGGGTGCTAGGAACTGAACCCAGGTCCTCTGCAAGAACAGACAGTGCTCTTAACCATTGAGCCATTTATTCAGCCAGGAGCAGATTTCTTGTATTATTTCTTTGAACCAGCAAGGAAAATGAATTAATTGAGGTCACACAACTGGTTTAAATTACACCACATTTTAAAAGAAGATTAAGCTATTTTGCTTTGACTATTTATTTTTAAATGTGAATTTATTAACTGAATTTCTGAGAATAAGAACTATATCATATTTTCCTCCTACCCAAAGTATTCAGGACATGTTTTTGGAGTGTGCTGATGAACTGTTTTAGAATGTAGCTCAGAAATTAAACTAGAAATTCAGAGAAACTTTTTAGAGGTTAGAGTGCCAATCCAAGTTAGCAGCAGACCAGGGAGAAGACAACTGCGCTCAAATGTCTCCCTTCTAAAAAGAATTCTTTAAAATTGTTAGTTTTTTTTTTCTTTTTTAACTTGTGTAAAATGTTATTTGCATTTCAAAATTTTATTGTGTGTGTAATCGTTTATAGGCAATATTTTCATAAGCACGGATTTCAATGTTTTCATGGGAAAGCAAATTATGTAAGACCCTGTCTTCTAGTCAGAGCGCATAGGTGATAGGATGAGTGGCCAACAATATGGATTATGGTTTGGTCAGAAAGACTTAAAACACAGTGAAGTGAAGCTCAGTGATGGGGAAATAAAACTACTCACTCTACTGAATGAAACCTGAATTTTCTATGTGCATTTTGGACTTATTTTATCTTGAATTTTACATCCCAACAGCATGTCTTTAAAGAAAGGAATATTTGAGAGGGAAGTTGGACATTTGAAAGGCTGTTTGATCTGTTTCTGCATGTGCAGACACCTATGTTTGATATATTTGTTTGATATATTTCTGTATGTTCTCGGACACGTGAATGTGTCCAAGTATAAATTTCTATAGTACCTTTCAGTGACTTAGAACTCATTGATCTAATAGGTTGAGCTGATAAAACTCGGTCTGGAACTGAGAAGGAAGACTCCTAACATAGAGTGTTAGACATGAACAGATCTGGGGTGGTGAGACACTCTATCCCACAACTTGGACAAGTCTTCTAGGCAATGCCTTTCAAAATCCTGGGGAAAAGCCATATTACATGTATAAAACACAGTGGTGAGCAGTGAGTTGGTAATGTCACAAACCTGTACATTTCTCACAAATACTTTTATTATTGAGCAAGTGGATTAATCTTATTAGATTTTTTTTCAATTAGACCCCTCAAGAAAATAATGCTCAATACCCATTATTTCTCCTCAAACTTGATCAAAATAATCAAATATATGGTAATGTTTTATGGCATCTAGCTTGCATCAATAGCTGCTGATTCACCTTCCCTGAGCAACCATCATGAAGAAAGAAGTTTCCCTTCTTACTCTTATGGGTAGTTTTAGATACTTATGCTCAGTCACTTAAAAAAAAAACTAAAGGAGAGTACTGTGACTGAAAAAGAATAGGCAGTCAACTGTGGTACCACAGGCCTGGGTCCTCATCAGTAAAGAGGCTGAAGCAGCAGGATCAAGTCCAGGACAGGCTTGGCTATACAAGACACTGCCATCTTTTCACAGAGCGGGGGGGGGGCGGATTAAAATAGAAAAATATTGTCCAAGGTTAGTAAAATTCTATTGGCATCTACTTTCCTTAAATAAAAGAATGAGTATAATAACTGAAATAATATGAATATGTGTCTTTATAATAATTATAATCATGAACAAATAAAATATATTATCAGAAGAGTTTTGCAGGCCACTCCTCAATATTGCCCAGACACTTCCAGATAAACTACAGGAACTATTCGGTGAACTTTTTATTGAGTCCTAACTCATGTGCTTAAATTCACCAAGAAGTCTGAGATGGTGATGCTGGCCACTATGCCAGACAAGAGTTAAATAACTGAGAATTCTGATGATTGACCTAGGAATTATATATAGCCTTGCTGTATTCACCAAACAATGAGTTTTTGTCCGTTGTTGATGTTATTGCTTAAAAATAATGTAATGAGCTGTTGATATGATGCTAGTATCTGCAGATAGGCATGAAGGACTTTCGGGAATGTGTGAGTCTCTGCACATTCTGCATATACATGTCTGTCACATGTGCTGTGAGAGAGGAGGCTGCCCCATTCTTCTTTATTCCCTGGTACAATCTGACCATGTGACAAGGTTCTTTCTCCAGGGGTCAAAATGAAATCACGAAAGATCTTCAGAGCTCTGTCAATACATGAAACCCCAAACAACAAATACAATAAGCATTGTCAACAGGAAAGGCCAACAAAGTCTGGGTTTGGATTTGGTTTTATGTGAAGGGAAACATATTCCCTTCAGTTTTAATAGTTTATAAGACATACAAATCACAATATATTGACTTGGTATCCACCTGTAAAGAGTCAAAAGAAGCTAAAGTTCTCTGATTCATCCTCTGTTCCATAGACATTTTGAAACAAGAGAAAAACTGAAATAGAAGAATATGGGAGAGAACACAGAAATGGTTTGAATGACTTCCAGTCCACATTAGACATCAGTGGGCATGTATTTTTTCCATCAAGATGGCTGACTGTAGGTCTCACCTCTGAGACTTTGCAAAGAAACTGGACACATAGGGTTTTTGCTTCCAGGGCTGATATAGAACAGTAAGGGTGTGTGTGAACATGTGTGAATGTGTGTGCTTTAGGTACACTTTATAAACACTGACACAGGACAGTTCTCTTCATCAGTAATAGTCTTTGGAACCCAATCATGCAGAGCAACAGGCAGATGCAAATTAGGTGTCACTGCAAGATGGACATGGCAAGGTGGACAGATGATGGTAGAGTAGGGCTGGGAGATGTATTTCTACTAGGATACTGGCCATTGGTCCCACATGACCAAAAGTTGTATATAATGGAGTCCATGTATAAAAGAAGCCTTCCAGTTCAGTCTGACTAACCAAAGAAATGAATCAAAGTGAGCAGACAGTTAAAGAACCATCTGGTGTAAAAGAAATAATGAAATCTTATATTTTAATCGCAAGGAAAAGAACTGATTTGATTATTTACATTGTAACTTCTTAGTTTGTTTTTACAGACTGCCTTATTTAATGATACGTGTGGAAATCGTTGTCTTCTTATAATTAAAAATGTGTGTGGCTACATGCACAGGGGAGGATGTTCAGGGAAGAAAATAATTTCTTCAGACCCAAAGAAGCTGGGATCAAAAATTCCCAGAGCAAATTTCCTCTACTCTCTGAAATATAAAAGATACCTTTTTCAGCAAAGCCAGCTGATAATACTCTTTACACAGCACAGTATTTTTTAGATGTAAATTCTTGTATGGTAAGAAAATGAAACAAATACATTTTGTATAACCTAGTTTCTGCAATGAATATTTAAAATTTATAAAATAAGTTTTATTAATCTTTTCCCCTGACAGATCATGAAAGGATTTATGCATTCTCATGCCTTCTATTAGTTTTATATTTTCAAGGCCAATTCTCTAATTTGCTGGTCAGCTGTTATCAGTATGGTTAGATATTTTTTTTTTTCTGATAGTGATAACAGACTGAGAGAAACTTTCCTACTCCTCAGCCATCAATTGGAAAAGTTTTCTCTAATGGCTAGGATGTGGCTAGGTACTGTCTTAGCTGTGGAATTCCCATGAAGCTCTGTCATTAGATTCTGAAGGATTAAATATTATTTTCAGTGTTTTAGTGTACAAGAAGCAATTGTATTATAAGGGCAATGATAAAATGAGTATATTGACTCACCAAACTCATTCCAAAATATCAAAGAAATAGCTAAAGTAATAGAAATTTAATTCTTCCTACACGGGGGTACATACCCATCTTTTCTACAGAATATCACAGAATACTTTAAGGACCACTGTATAATCAGTTGCCTGTAGAAGTGACAGAAGACACAGGTCCTTAGAGTGCCAACTTTCTATTACAAAGTAAGCCCAACCACATGCGGGGCCTTTACTTCTTCCAGAAACATAGTCCAGGTCACATAACAGTTCCCTGCCCCCAAAGTAAATGCACCCTTTGGAAGTACTGGCCACATAAAAGAAATCCTTGGTGTGTGTGTGTGTGTGTGTGTGTGTGTGTGTGTGTTTCTTTCTAAGAAAAGAAGATCCAATGAAGAACATAATACAGACTATGAATTTTACCACAACACAACCACCCCCTAAAAATAGGATTTGGGGACGTGAAGGGGGAACTTCTAAAGTGGTGATCTTCTTGTTCCGTCTCCAATCTGTCCTTTGATCACCTAGCAAAATCAGGCCCACATGAAACCAGAGACCAAATTCTCATCTCTAATTGTAAGTGCTATTTAAAATCCAAGGGAGGGGCTAGAGAGATGGCTCAGTGGTTAAGAGCATTGGCTGCTCTTGCAGGAGACCAATGTTTGATTCCCAGCACTGACATGGCAACAAACAACTCCAGGTTAGAGAATCTGATGCCGTCTTCTGGCCTCCATAGGCATTACATGCACAGATGCACTTACATACATGCAGGCAAAACACTCAAACACGTAACATTTTAAAAATAAATGAATAAAATTTAAAATCCAAGAAATTTGTTTCATCTTTTGTCTGTTGATAGGGAATTTCTGGCTAAAAGTTCCAGGCAGTCCCGTGGTGTGTGACAGGAGATGGATTTGTGGCACTTAGGAAAGCCTGCAGGAGAAGGAGGGGGAATGATCTCATTCCTCCCTGCTTTCATCTTAAAAGAACCAGCACTTCTGCAGAATGAGAGATAGTCTAAGTGTTCAGCACATCTAACAGGCTGTTGGAGTAACTCCTGTCTTTTGTTCTCATCTTGTTACTGATGAAATTCCTCTCCAGACTTATTTCTTTCAAGCAGTTGTCTGCTCTCTGCACTTAATCTTGTGTGATACAGACCAGGGGAGTGTGGAGGCCACAGATATAGGAGCAAAATACAAAGAGAGAAAAAAAGGGATATAGATGAGGGAGGAAAAGATGACAGAAAGAAAAGTGACAGAAAGCATGAGAACAAGCAGGCATTAATAAAATCAGCTTGTCTGCAACCTTAACCAAAAAGAATGGAAGCAACACACAGACTGTGCTATTCTTACTCTGGTGGATGAGCTGCCCTCTCTAAGACTGCTGTCTCCATTTTCAAACACCATATCCTGCAAGAAACCATGCCGTGCAAAACAATCTCAGGAATGGCCCCAATGTGGCATGATGGTGGTGGGGGAGCAGCTCCCTATTGACTCTATTGCTTGAAAGGAGACAGAGTTTCCCTGGAATTGTATTTAAGGCAGTTTCAGAGCTCTGGCATTGCTATCTTTTCCATTTCTGAAGGATTTCCACTTGCCAGGCCGATCACACTCATTCACTCATGTGTTTCACTTCTTCTTCAGGTGAAATATCACCACAGGGTAAGCACCGAAATGGCCAGAGTGCAGATAGTTGTGGTGGATACTTCACCCCCGGAAGTAAGAAGGGAAGACAGGCCTGACGTCTGTTATTGCTTAGAGGTCATACTGTGTTGCCTCGTAGATAACCGAGATGTTTCACCATGCCTCCTTAAGGTCTGAGGCAGCACCTTCTGTGGATTTAAGCTAATTTCAGATGATTTTGCTAAAACACACTAATGTTTCATGGCTTTTGGAGGAACTCACATTGCTCGTGCTAGTTAGAAGCAGCAATGATGGGCAGCTTTATTGCTCTCCTCTCTTCTGCAGTTCAACGTTCAGATGGTCAGCCCTTCTCAGATTATTCACATTTATGAAAATAAATCAATAAACAGGAAAGATCATTCATATTAGAAATCAGGGAAATTCCTGAGAGACAGTAATGCCCATAGAGATGCTTTTAAATGCTATCTTGTGCTTTGGGGATTTATGTTAATTAGTTTAACATAATTTATTACCAGAAGAGGTAATAAAATTTTGGTAGGGTATGTGCTTGGGAAGCAGTCCATACATTAAAACAAACCCCACAATCTGAAATGGGTCTAGGCAGGCTCAACTTCTTGAAAGAGATCAATCATATGGAGGCAATGCCACTCTGTTTCAGGTAAAGGTTTTTAACCACTGAATGTGTGCACAATGATCTGCCTAACACCTGCCCTTCTCTCCAGCACCTTACTCTCTTGACATGTAATTTGGAAATGACAAATGCGTCTAATCTTTAAAGCATGGATACAGATGTCTCCAAGTATCTAGCTGGTGATTTCCTTTTGGTCTCACTCCACACTGCAGGCATGTGCTCTACTCTCTGCTACCTCTTCATTGTCAGAGAAAACACCCCCAGCTTTTACCCACACATTCTTTCTGAAGACCAAACTACTGAGTGTCTGAAACCTATTGCTACCTCCCCCCACCACACACACTGTATGTAAGCATCACATATGTTCTTTCTACAAATTGGTATACAGGTGCCATTTAATCAGTTCAAATTTGGAAGCTACATCTTCAAGGGTCCAAGAGCTCACTCCCCCATATTTTCCCCATTTACATATTTTCTTATAAGACATACAGCTTAATCAATTAACAAACTAAACAGCTTATATACTGGCAATATATTACAGATAGGTTTATGTCAGAGTAATAGATCACATGAAATGGACCATGTGGTACCCCAATGCATGGTGTCTTGGTAGAGCCCCGAGGACACTGACAGGAGCATCTCTAAGTAAGTAGTGCTGTGTGAATACAGACACATGCGGATCTGTATCTACATCCATCTGACTAGGCCAAAAGGAGCAGGTAGATGCGAGATAGAGACACACACATGCTGGATGGGGCCACTGCACACCTTGTCATGCCATTTGAAAGGGCAGTTACAGGTTGCTGGTTTTGCAGCCATTTAAATTACACCTATGGAAAAGGCTTCTCTAATTGTGTTTGATTTGTTTTTTGTAGTAAGCATTGTTGGGAGGAGACCAAAGCAAGAGCAACTAGAAGTTAAATATACATTTCAGCTCAGCTGCAGTACAGAAGTTTGGAGAAGAAGCAGGCAGGAAGATTTATCTCAATTTTAGGTTGGATTCTCTCTCTTGCTATTTTCTTGACATTGCGTGTCTGCATTTGTGCACGTGTGTGTGTCTCTTTGTGTGTGCTCTGTGTACTGTATGTGTGCATGTGCATGTGTGCGTGTGTGTTCTATCACATCATCTCCTGAAGAACGCTGGGTTTCGCAGGCAGGCGGCTAGTCACCTGCAACAACCCAGCGGTCCCGCTGAGGCTTCCAGGCTGCTGTCAGTGTCAGATGCCAGGGTCTGGTCGGTGGACATAGAAGAGATGTCATTGACAGACGAGGATGGAGGGAGACTCTCACTGCTGTTCACTGCTGCACCTGTGCTAAGAAAATGAAGATCAACATGACTAAATCTGGAACCAGACCATCAGTATGCTGTTCAGAGTGCATGGATGGGGAAATGTTTACCATTCATTCTGCAAACCTTCAGAGAACTGATACAGAAAACTGAATTTGATGGTGAAAATCAGGACAAAATGATTAGAGTCCCTGTCTCATGTTATTCAGTCATGTCTCTGTATTAGAAATCATGTGCACCTGCTTTAAAAAAATTAACATCCAGTCACACTGCCCTCCAACCACATGGATGTTGTAATATAATTGGTCTCGGGTGAACACAAGGCAATTACATCCTTAAATGAAACCACAGAGACGGTAGAGTTATTCAGGGATAGAGGACCACTGGTTTATGGAAAAGAGAGATGCATAAAAATCCTCTGGTGTAGCAGTCTGATCCTGATTGTTTTCAATGGAGGAAGTAAAACAAACACACACAAAGGTCTTCGCCCAGAAATAGGGGCAAAAGTAAAGTCCAGAAATTTGAATTATTTGGATACTACAGTTCCGGGAAAAGGAAAGTATGTAAAATACATAGTATTATATAACCTTTAATATGTTATCAAATTTAAAATCTGTAAAGAGGACTTTTGATGACAATTAACAAAGAGGAAAAAATAGAGGAGGCAGAGCACATCCTTCGATTATACATTAGCTTTCCAACAGATTTTCTTGCCTAGAATCTGAAAATCACTCTGAGTTATTAATTTGGAAACTTCTTTCATTCTTCTATTTGGAATTATAAAGGCTTTGAAATTCCAAGAAGTAATTTGCTCAGTAAAGACCTGCTGTGTTGCAATAGTTTTGAGAACAACCAAGAAAAGATGAGACAACGGCCCTGGAAAATAGAATCAAACCATAGCAGCTCGGAAAGGGTCCATTTACTTTTGCCTTCTCTATGTTCTTTAACCTAAGTGATCTATTAACAAAATGTATGGTTGTAAAATGGGTTGCTAGTTAAGATATATCTAGCTCAATCCATAAACAAAATAAAAGACTAAGAATTCCCATGGATCATGGGACCCCTGAGGAACAGATCCTCAAACGACCTCAAGAGTGAAAACAAATCAGTTTATCTGGTCCAATGGTATGTCCTTAAACACCCAAAAGGGAAGTATAACCAAAGATTAAAGGGGCCAATATAATTTCATAAGAGCACACATATATATAACTGAAAGTTACTTGACAAACAGCAAAGCCAGACAGGCGATACCTTCAGTCGAGTTCTTGGCCAGGATAGATAAAGGCTCTTCCAGACAGTAACCCAACATACTACTGGAAAAATGAACAGCAGACCCCAATTCTA